ACTCTTAAGATTCATTCATAGAATATGTACAGTGATTTTATTTTAAAACATATTATAGTTAAATTTTAGCATTACAAATATCACTAGTTCAAATATAAGAACTTTATTTCCTAACTTTGCTTCTGGATTTGTGACCTTCAATTTTTGTCATTGTTTTGTGGCTGAAAGCTGACTCCCCAGAAGGTTTTCTGAAGCCATTAGTCACAAGGGAGGAGTTGCTTATCTTTATTCTGGAGAGAAGTTAGTAAATTCGAACAGCATATGTTCAGGTTGAAGAGCAATAACTTACCACCGTAGCTCCCATCTATGACATCCCCCAATACTTCTAGAATAGCCACCCGAAATCCCACTGCCATTGAATTGATTATAATTCCTAGCAACCCTTTCACAGGTTTCTGTGACTATAAACCTATACAAAAAGAAGCTTCCCATGTTTCTCCCATGAAGAAGATAGTAGATTCAAACTGCCAACCTTTTGATTAGCAGCACAATGTGTTATGAACTACATCACTAGAGTTTCTTGTGGTTTAGAGTAAATAAGTTTCCTAACTTCACCACATTTTACTTTCCTCATCTATAAAACTAAGTTATTTTCTCAGCACTGACTACTCTAGAGTCACCTCGGGAGCATTTTAAAAGTAATAATGCTCAGATTCCACCTCAAGGTTTAATTTTTCAAGTTTTCCAGGTAATGTAATGTACAGCAAAGGTTAAAACCAGTGATGTTGGTGATCACTAACTTACTTTTAGCAAAACTCTCTAATTTCATGATTCACTACATTTTGACATATTAACAGTTGCTAGAGGTAACAATTTTCTAAGTATTTTCAACACTCCTGGTAACTAGAAATTTATCCACAAAGACTGTTCTACTCAAAATTGGGAACATTTTCTCCCCTGTAAAGTACTGTAGTTTCTGAATTATGAGAATAATTCCCACTAAGAGCCAAATACATGCCATTTATTTGAGTGTGACATATAAATTAAAAATTAATGTAAAATCACCTAATTCTTAGAATGAGCTATGGTTATTATTGGGAGTTTTCACTTTCAGTACTCATACAATATAAGGACAGTGTGCTCCAAAATTATATGTGAAATGATTTTTAAATTGCTGTTATACCTGCTTTGATCTGGAATAAATGACCCATTAATTTCTTAAAAGTTAATAACTTCCTAAATTATTTAATTTATTTATAATAAATAATTTTCACAGTGATTTATTTTAATGGATGGATTTTTAAAAAGTGAATTAAGTGGGAAATCTATGTATGTACTGACATTTCAAATATACAATATGTTTTTAAAAGCAACTTTGAAGTGCATAATGGTAGACTTTTGCTTTCAATTTTTTGCTAAATAATTCTATTTTAGAGTGAGCAAATAGTTCCCTTTAACTTTAAATGCTAGAGAATATAGTTGCATGCTATTTTGTTTAAGTAATACCATGAAGTATAGAACTGCACCCTACATTTATATCCAAAAGGAAATTGTAGTCTCATAGGAAATTGGGGAAAAGGCTCAAATACATCTTGGAACTAAGAGATTCTGTGCCTTACATTTGATAGACCTCCATGTTTAGAGGCATATACTTTTTGAGTACTTGGGATTTGCAGACTACTTCCTTCTTTTAGCAAGCCTAATAATAGAGAAAAGGAGAAGAAGAGATACAGATGACAGCTAACAGCTAACATGGGTGCATGTAGGTGTAAGCAACAAAGAATGTACTGGTTATATGGAATTTCTGTAGGCCTAGTTATTTTTGAAAAGTATTTTAAAACTTCCTAATGCCTGGAAAAAGTCACTAGGAAAAAGAAAGAAGTGATTTCCAGTATAAAATATACTGTTTGTATAAAATATAATGTTTGCTTCTGACATTGTCAGTCCATTAAAATATCTACAATATCCCTTTGTATTTCACTGTATTTAATTGCTCTGTTGATGACAACCTAAAACAAGTATAATTCACAGATATACTATATGCTATATATTATAGCATGCAAAGTTATGATGCTAGAAGAATAATGTGACAGCTGGAATAGTCCACATGTTTAAAAACCTCATTCTGTGCAGACAGGAAAGCTATTTTACTTCACATTAGCTCTACCACATATCAGTTTGCTTTACAAGAACACCCTGAAATCAATCAGACACATATACCATGCTTTCAAAAGAATTTTGTACAGTGGGAATAAGCTATGAAAAGTTTGGAAAGAAAGGCAACACATAATACAGGGATTCCTTAGTAGTGATATGTATGCTTGTGATTTAGAAAAACCCTAACCTACAAGAGATTTATATCACTAGGAAATATTCAGAGGCTCTGTGAAATAAGAGAAAATTTAGCATCAAGATTACATCACATTTCTTATTTCTCAACTTTTGAGAATGGATCTAAAGGTAATAATTGTTGTAACTTCGTTGATACTATATCCTTTAAAGACTTTTTTTTCTCTTACATATCTTCTGTGGAATCTTTTAATGCTGCTGTCCTATTTGATATAGTCTTTTGCATTATATATCTTATTTTACACTGAGGAAAGCCATCAAGATATACTTACATAATATTATAATTAGCTTGATTAAGTCAAAGAAGGGATAGTAATTCCTAAGAAAATGGAAGGACAGAGATAATATATCCTCAGGAAGACACACTAGAAAGGATGCTCACTAGGAAAATGAGAGGTATTTTTTGTTTCCTGAGATTTCAGAACTAAAGGATAAATCAAAAGGTAGAGTTAAAGAATAGTGTCACTTACTTCACAGTTTTGCCTGCAGCTGGCCGAGGTTGGCAATACAATCATTGTACAAAATAAGGTAATTTGACCTACTTTTCTAAGGAAGGCCTATCAAATTTAAATGATTTTCAGAGTAGCAACATCATTTTATTGAGCAAAGACTTTATAGCTCACACTTGGTCAAAGTTGAGTGATGCTAACATTATCTTCAATAAATAAGCTCTGATTGTATGAATGTAAATATATAACTATTTCCCATATGTGTTTGTGTTAAGCAATTGAATTAGTTTATTGGTAATAGCTGTATAATGTTAAAAGTGTGAGTATTAGACTCCATCTTGAAAGCACAAGTACTGCAGTAAGGTATAGTTGTCGTCAAGATGAATAATGCAGACATTATGTTTTAAAACATGTCAGAGTCTCTTCAGTGTATCTTTCTTCTTTAAACTTTAGTCAGCTGAGATAAATGTTTTTCATTTGCCCTTAACTCTTTGTTATAAGGAAATAAGAGGCAACTAATGAAATAAGTTGATGTGCTGCTATGGTTAGTTAAATTAGAATTTGTTAGTTTTGTAGTTAAAGATATAACTATTTTTTTTTTTAATTTGGCATGGCAATATAACAGCATGGGAAAGAAAGACACCCATCAGGTTTGAAATGACTAATATTGAAAATTATTTGGCTGAACTTGAGCATAGTTTTATGTAGCTTTCCCAAAATATTGCTTCTTAGAATCAGTTATAATTAAGAGTTTATTGAGTCATAAATATTAAAAGATATTGAATCATGAATATTAAAAAGATACAGCTTCAAGAAACCAAAAAGGATAGTGTGAATTATATGCTGAGCTTGACTTGGAAGTACAACTGTTACAGCAGCTTCTCTCATTGAAATCTCTCAGAATTAGATTGCATGCATATTTAACCCAATAGCTGTAGGCAATTAGAGATGGAGAAGGTGAAATAACAAGTACCATATCAAAATTAACATCAAATTGTATGGTTTTTCCCTCTTCTTCAAGTTTTGGAGTTACTATTAACATGGAAAGAAACCTGGCTTGAAATTTAAACACATACACACACACACACACACACACACACACACACAGATTTGCTAGCTGGAGAGTTTCCACGCCTGGGGGAGGTTGGGTGACAATTGGTGCATTCAGTTTATAGCACGTGTAATGATAATTAAGTTGATTGGTTGAACTGTATAGCCTCCCCCACCCCCCTTTTCATTTCTTTTCCTGTAGAGTAGCTTAGCTGGGGGTGGAAACGTTCTCCCCCACTATCCTCCCTACTAAGAAAACGTAGGTTGATACCATTTTTATTGTTCTGCTGGAGTGGGAAATAAACCATATGCTTTAGAATTTTGAACGGCTAAGCCTAGTAGAAAATTGAACCTGCGCTTCTTTTCCCTCCGCCTACTGGACTTTTTAGGGTGGGGTTATTCCTCCAAATGTTCTAGCCAACTTGGCATTAGCTTAATGTTTCTTCTGCCGAGAGAGAGAGAGAGAGAGAAGAGGAAGAAATGTCAAGGGCTTCACAGGCTAGTTGGGCTGAGTGAAGTGTGGAGTGGGAAGCATGTGTTTGAAACCCACCCCTCCCCTGGATACCAAGGCAAAGGCAATGAGAGTCAGAACCAGCTGATGCCGCTGCTGCTGCTTCCAGTTTCCAGGGTGAAATTTTCACAGCAGCAAATTCTAAAGGGAAGGAAAAAAAAAAAAAATCCCTAACCAGCAGTGAAGAAGATCCTATCACCCAGCTCAAGCAATGTAACCTTTTAGACAGGCTTTTCACAGAAATCTGCATTTTAAAAGCCAACATTCACGGCCCAAAACACGGGACTGGATTCAGAGCTGGTATGGAAATATGAAAAGCCTCTTTACACCCTGAGTGTTTGAAACGATCCGATGAGCTTAGGAAGTGGCTGCCAGCGCTCTGGCGGCTGCTCCTGCCGCCGCCGCCGCCGCCGCCGCCGCTGCTGTTTCTCGCAGAGGGCTGGACAGAGCTAGTCCCGGTTTCAGCACCGCCGGCGCTGGACAGCTCTCTGCACGCCGCACCACCGCCTGCTTGCTTTTCCCCCCACTCTTGCTTTGCATTGCTGGAGATGCATCTAAATTACATCCTGTTCAACAACAAGTAGATTTTTCCCTCCTCCTGTACGGGAATTACAGTAGACGATTCTCTCCATTAAATTGCATTTTCTTCTTTACGGATTTAGCCATCAAGCGTATTTATCCAGATCTCCCCCTATTTGCAGGAACGAGTCTTTGGGAACGTGGTCCACCCAGGGATGTAAAACTGTGCTTACCGATGCATCCCATACGAAATGCTTATGTGATCGTCTCTCTACCTTCGCCATTTTGGCTCAGCAACCTAGAGAAATAGTAAGTAACAAAGGGAAAACACGGGTTTAATGCAAAGGCAGGGACATTGTGGCGAGTGTTTCTCTAGGGAACGGCATTTTAAAAGGGGAAATGGAAAATGTTGCAGGGTGGCAAAATTGTATTCGTCCCCTCCTTAGCTACAGTAGCTTGGTGAAATGAATTCTAGTTGGTGTGCTAGAACTAAATTCTACTCAATTTTATGTTCTAACTTGAAATTTCTGCAGTATAGTTTTTAAGGTGTACTCTAATCCTACAAACTTTCAAATAAAAATAATTGCCTTCTTAACCTTTATTTTAAAACTAGGATGTTGTTCTGAGGAATTTGTGAAAATACCTCTAGTAATAGTATGAAGACCCCAGACGCTATAGCTGAGCACACTCAATGTCTGCATTGGATATTGTCAGTACAGGGTTTTTTGGGGTGTCCTTGGACAAAGCTATTTTTATATCAAATGAAGTTTTCATGAAAGCTTGGTCTGTCAGGAACTGTAAAACAATTCCTTTAAAAGTGTGGAGGTTTGTGAAAATAGTTTCATGAAGAAAAAGCTATACTGATCTATGTGAAAGAAAAATACTCATCAAATGCATTTTGAGAAATTGTTTTAAAAATCGAATTCTGAAAAAACATTATTCACTTAAATGTGACTTTTTGCCCACATTTGCCTAAAAATTCATTCATTTTGATGATTTAAAAAAAAAAAAAAACCACTACAGTTTTATGAGCTACGGTTTGGAACACACTTAGTTTCAGAATGTGTTTCTCTGAACTTCCAAAATGAAAAATATGAAAACCAACAGATTTCATAGTTAATGGCATGTTAGTATCTAAGGAAAGAAACCTCTCAGAACAGTGAAAGCTTATCATCTTTATATCTGTAAAGATAAGACATAGTTTTCAAGGTCATATATTTAACAACTGACACTGATATTGTGAAAATAATTGCTATATATTTCATTGATGGGAAAACTATTAAATATATTCTAAGATCTTGCATTTAAAATTATATATCCATCTATATTCTTAGAGGCCAAGCAAGTTATATTAAATGAGAGAATACTTAGAACAAAGTTGTCAAAAGTAAAAAAGTTTGGAAAATTTATAACACCAGTGTTCAAGATTTGATTAGCATAAGGATCTACTGTAAATTGGAGCATGGAGATAAATTTTATCAAAAAATGTACTGTGAAATGTCTGTAGTTATTGAAGTAAAGGGAATTCTCCTTCAAACTTCATTTAGAGAAAAAATTAACATGTGAATGTTGACCAAGTTACACTTTATGGTTTTTTTATTGTGATTTTAATTTTTTTTAAATTTGAGGAACTTAATAGATAATATAAGTATCTAGAACTTTAAGAATTTTATTATCTACAGTGAAAGAGAGGAGAGCTAGAATTAGTCACAGTAATGGTTGGGAATATGGGAACAGAATGGTTCCATGTTTAATTATCTGGCAAGCTGGCAATGACAACTGTATTGACTATTTTTGAGTGATAAGTTAGTTGTGATGAGTTTGGCATTATCATTTTCAGTTTTCAAATTTTCTTTCTGTGTTTCTTTCTTTGTTCCATTACAGATCATGGAGTCCTCTGGTACACCTTCAGTCACCCTAATAGTAGGCAGTGGCCTTTCTTGCTTGGCCTTGATCACCCTAGCAGTTGTCTATGCAGCATTATGGAGGTATGTAATAAATCAATACACTTGAAAGAAAATGTTCAGGTATTCAGGAATCCTTTCAAGAAATATGATAAGGATTGTATATCTTATGTCTTCTTAATTTACTGATATACTTGTGTGATGATTATGTCTTTTATGATAGAGATGTAATAAATGAGCTATGGTTCCCTAATTTTTCTGTCTATATATGCTTATGATGAAAAAAATGTAAACAAGATACACCCAATATTCTTCTCAAATGACGGTAGTAATCAACAAGTTGATTACTTCCAAGTATGGTCCTCTTGTAACCTATTTTCAAGTTTTGTATAGATTCCATTTACCCCAATCACTATTGAGCCTGAGAATTTACATGGAATATGTAGTCAAGTAATTTTATCTGTTATGGAAATACGGTTTCCAAATCTTGAATTTTGCACATATGCTCTCAATGTGTCTTTGGCAATGAGTTAAACCTGTAAGATATATGTACCAAGTTGCTTAGAAAAGGCTTGTTGATTTGATGCCTTCAGTAAGTCAGATTTGAACAAATTATAAGAAGGGGGAAAGAATCATAAACGTAGAAAAAGGACTGAACATTTGGATTAAAATATATAAAATTTCAAGTTTGATATTACAGAAAAATTACTCACTCACTGAATATTTGGTGTATTTAATAAGAACTATGTTTCTGAAGTTTAATATATCTAGTCACATAACACTCTGTAGTATGCAACCATATGACCGACATCCTAACAGCTTTTAAAGTTTTAAATATCTGTTTAATTATTAAAAATGTTTTTAAAACTTAGCTATTAAGAAACTTAGTTATTATACTAGGAAGGAGATAATTTATATATCATTAATAAATATTTGTAGCAATAAAATTGCAGTAGTAGATGCTATTTCTATTTAGGGATTTGACAGTCCTGGCAAATAAAAAACTATGATTAAAAAAAGTGATGGTGATCTTTCCTGGCCAGCAGGATCCCATGACCATGAAGATGGTTTTCCCAGGGTGAGGCTTATCCTTTGCAATCTGTATGTACTGAACCTTGCAATTTCTTCAAATGTGGGAAACTTGACTGCATAATTTGCGGTAGATTATGTTCACACTTTCCCCCTTAAAAAAATTGATGGGAATGAATTATAATTTAATCAGAAAATATAATGATATTTAATAGCCACTGATTTTCAATATATATACTTTTTACTCTTTTAAGTATATAAATATTAATTATGCACGTTAATAATAATTATGTTTCATATCAAAGAACATTCTTGACCCATTGGTACAAATATGTCATAAAGGTCCTCTCTTTCTGTGAAGGAGTTATCTGGTAGCAGAACATTGACAAATTGGGCCAGCCTGGTGAAATATGGCCTAGCCTAGAAAAAGAAAGCAATGCTTCATTGATCTAGGCTTCACGTTGTAGGCAATACAATTGTAGGTCTAGGACACAGTCAGGTAGACATCGTCATAGTAGTAATGTAAGAGTAAAATGTGTGATGGCTGGGAAGAAAATCTGTTTTTTTTCCACAATTGCTTGAACAATATTTTCTTAAAAAGTGAGGTAGTGTGTATAGGTCAGTATATTAAGTAATCACAATGGCATTGTAATTCATACTCACTGAAGTATTTAGAACGTCACTGCGTCACTGCCTCACTGCCATTTTAGCACTTTAAGAGTTCCAGCACCATTAAGTCCTCCTTCTCACTTTTTTTTTGTTCTTACTTTTTAATATTTATGGCTAATTGTACAACAGACATTGTCAATATAACTTACAGATAAAATTTATCAAAGGAATATAGGATTATTTAGTCCATAATGCTTTTTCTTTTGTCAGATAATTACCTACTACAATATAGGGATTACCTCTGACTCTCAAAGTATCTTTCAAAACAACATGGCCTTGAGAAGTTTAGAGGAGAGTATTAAAGTACAGCAAAAATATAAATCCTTTAAAGTTGGTCATAGACTCATTGTCTATTTTTCACATTGCTCAAATAGATAAATAAACAGAAAAGTTGAAGAAACAGTTTGATGGAAGCATCAAGACTAATGAATTATTGATATATGTTGTAGCATGAAGAATGTAGCATTACTGTATAATAATAAATGTGTTAGAATAATCTCATTCCTTGCCTATCGAATTGGAATGGACTCATAGCTGACCCTCCAACAGATTTATAGAGCTGTAAGATTGGTCATCTTTCTGCTGTGGAGGAGCTGGTTGATTCCAACTGCCTTCTTCGTTTGGATTGGTAGCAAAACTCCTTATCCAGTAGGACACCAGAGCTCCTTGTTAGGACAATAGCACTCTTTTATTCCCAATTAAAAAGTGGGAAACTTTTAATTTTTGTAATGATTTTTAAAATGTGCAAATATTAGAATTATTTTAGGTTGTGTACTCTTTTTGTAGCTTGTCAGAAACCACATATTTAGTTTTATGCTTTCTTTTGCTACAGGTGTGTTCTGTAGAGTTATATTATTATATTAATGAGCAATTATTCAATAGTTTTAAAAATTATATTAAAATTATGAATTAAAAATTTGTCAAACATAATCACACAAGACATAAAATTGTTTAAAGTTGACATTTTACAGCAATTCCTAGCAACAGTATTACTTAGTATTGATGAAAATGGAACTAGCTACTTCAAAGACTTCTCTGGTAGCTTAGTGGCAAGGAGTTGGGCTGCCAGCCTAAAGGCAAGCGGTTTGAAACCACCATCTGCTCCATGAGAGAAAAATGGGTAGTATCCACCTGTGCAATTAACTGCTTCTGTAAACTGGACGGTCAGCTATGGGTCAATTCTGACTCAGCGGTACACAACACAGATTCCTTAGGATAGTCAAGTCCAGTCTCTTACTACTATGATTTTTCTATTAATGGGGCAAGTAATATTACTGAAATATTTATAAATTCATATCTGTATTTGTGATCTACTAATAGCCATTGATAGCATGTAAAAGATCCATTTTGTGAAATTTTTTAACTTTTTATTACACCACATCTACAAAAAGAAGTAGTTTACTATTTGAGAATGTCTTCAGTGTGTGATTTACTACATATTTAGATATTTTTAATACAAGGACAAGGTTAAACAATACTTGAGGTCATTTAGTGCTGAAATTCAATACAGGTTATTCATTCTGGGGATTGTTTTTTGAAGAAAAATTTCCTTCATGTTGAAACTTTATTATTGGTTGGATCTTTTTTTGTTTACTTTATGCCTCGTTTTTCCCTTTCTAATATGAAATATGGGATGTTTTATGGAAGTTCTGTGTAAATATCCATCAAAGAAAGAAAAAACTTTGATAGATTAATCCCTTGTAAGCCATGCCTCTAGATCTTGGGCACCCCAACCTAACATTCACTGAAGAGCCAGATTTGATGTGTTACATGATTCTATGTTCTAATACAAATTGAGCAGGCTCAAACACACAGCAAGTACAAGAGTATCTTTCTGTTACTGTCACTCACAAATTTACCACTGGGTACAGTAAAGTAAAAGAGCTTTTACCCTTTCAAGGTAAAGTATGGTATACTATTTGATTCAGAGCAGTTTTTTCCATGGCTTATAGTTTTGGTACACCTAAAAATTATGTAACTAACTGTATCTAAACATTCTTTCTTAAGGAAAAAAATATGACAAGTGTATCTTTTCATATTTTCATCTAATGATAAATTACTTGTGGATCAGACTAGTTTTCAAGCATATGGTCTTTTTGGCGATCAATAAAAATGCACAAATACATGAAATCATGGGCAAAAATTTAAAAAGTTCAATGGTTTCATGAAAGTGATGGTAACTTTCCTCAACTAATTACTAGTGATACTCTCAGATACATGTGGATTTGTTAATTCCTTTTTACTTTTTTGTTTGTCTTCACATCTTCGTTTATTGGACTTATATGGTAAACCTTTATATATTATACATAAAATAGATGCCTATATCATGAAAGTACCTTATAGTAGTTGACATATTTCCAAAAAGTTTTGTTTATACTTAAAAAAAACCAACAAAACTATGCTGATTATAGAGCTCAAGCTCTGTTAATATGTCATATTGTACACACAAATGTCCAAAGAAAAAGCAGTTCAAAGCAAACTTGCATATGCCATGCTGCAATTCACATGCCATGCTGCAATGTATATGCCGTGCTGCAATGCATATGCATTAGCTCTATAAACCAATATTTATTGTATTTATTCCATATTTTTCTCCTGTATTATGTTTTAGTGTTTGTCCCTTTACATGTGTTTCATTAATTTCTACCTTACAGAATTTTGCATCTTTCTGTTGCATTTTAAAGGTAGACCTTATTTCTCTCTCTCTTTCTGACTAGGTATATACGCTCTGAGCGGTCCATAATTTTGATTAACTTCTGCCTGTCTATCATCTCATCCAATATCCTCATACTGGTTGGGCAGACTCAGACACATAATAAGGTATGACTGGCAATTACTCTCTTTTTATGTTTCTGTTTTGACATAAAGTTGGTTATTTCTGTTTTGACATAAAGTTGGTTAGTGACAATCTAAAACCTTTAGGTAAAGTGGAGAAGTCATAAAACTAGTCTTAAAAACAAAATAATTTTATCGGTTTCTGAATAAGATTATTGTCTTTTCCAGTCCAGGAAAAATAATGCATATATTAATTTCCTAGAAGTTGAGCAACTGTTAATTGTAAAAATATGTTTGCTAACAGCTATATGAGAGCTCTGTGAGTTCAAAGTCTTAGGACATCAAAAGCACACGTTTTGACTCGTTATCCTAATTGTAATAGGATTGCCTGTGTTTTGGTCTACTTTATTAACATATTGATTCTTTAAAGACAGCTATAAGTTGCTTATAGGAACAGCATTGCTTTTGTAAATCGACCCAAAACATAACTAGAAGGAATACTGGAAGAATGTATGAAATGAAAGCTACCCAGTGTTCTGTGCCTTTAAACATTTTTCTTTTCCTTTACCAAAAGTCTTTTGATATTTAACTAATGAGACAATTGAACTGCATAGACACTTTTTAATGGAATGTAAAAGTTTAAGTGTTATTTATATGGATTGATGTGAGTTGAGTGTATTTTTCAGAAATGACTATCTAAACTACTCTTTACTGAACTACTGAAATATATCCCAAGAAAATCATTATGTTGTTATTGTTGGGTATTGTCAAAGAGGAGGCAACCCATAACTGACCCTCTAGTGGATTTTCAGAGGCAGTAAATCACATGGGGGGAGATTGCCCATCTTTCTTCTACAGAACACTTGGTGGATTCAAACTGGATACTTTTGGGTTGGCAGAACATTTATTTACCACTAAACTTCCAGAGCTCCTTCAGAAAATCATTATAACAATCTTAAATATACTCACCCTAACCTTGAAGGAATTCTTTTAAACATTACTTTGAAGATTTATTTCTCAGGTCAATATGGTTTTCAGTCTTGTTTGTTGTTTGGTCTTTTTTTGTTTTGTTTTGTTTTTTTTAATCTTTTTCAAAGATAAAAACCAATAAATAAACTTCTAAAAACTGTAGTATTTTAAAAAAAACCAAGTGTATTTTTTAGTTGCTAGATTGTCACATAACCTGTATCAATCTCAAGGTTTAAAAGTTTTTTGTTGGCTTTGTTAATCTATATTCCTAGTATTGTAGATCCTGGGTCAGAGTAGGGACTAGGATACTGCTTAGGTGAGTCTGCTGAGGATCCCTTTTTCAACCACATTTTTGGAGGAAGACCATTAATCCTAAGAATAAAACATAACCAACCTAATAAAGAAAATAGAGACTACTGAAATATATTTCAAAAGTATGTCCATAGGCATGTAATATAATTTTTTAAATAAAATTACAAAAAGGGGAAAAATGGTAAGAGAGATCCAGTTGGGACCAGGAGAGGAAAACTCTGAAGTACAACATAAGGAGTTGAGGCAAAATGAAGATAAACATGTGCATGAGGTGAGAAGGGAAGAGGAAGCAGAAAGAGGGAAGGAAGACGAGTTAAAGACTTGGGCTTGACTTGAGAAAGGTTAAAATTATTCATTTTTCTGATTAATTCCTTTAATGTCTTTAAATTTAAATCTCTGCCCAGAAAAGACTTCTGTTTGAACCAAAATATGTCAAGTCTAATCACCTTTAGGCCATAATTTTTTTCCACCAAAATACACTTTTAAATAACGTGTGTGTGTGTAGTTTATTGCTATGCACTGTCAAGTGGCTTGCGACTCATAGTGACCCTTTGTACAACAGACCTGAAACCTGCTCTATCCTGTGCCAACTTTATTATCTCCAACACACTTACCCTCATTACTTCAGTCACTGAATCAATCCATCTCATCAAGGGTTTCCCCTCTCTTTCTCAGTCCCTCCACCCTTCCATGTCCCTCTCCAAGGACTGGTTCCTTCTTGCAGCATGCCCAAAGTATGTCAGACAAAGACTCAGAATCCTTGCCTCCAAGGAACACCCTGGTTTCACCCTCTCTAGGACGAACCTGTTTGTTTTCCTGGCAGTCCAGGGTATTAGGAAAAATGCTTTACAAATAATTTCATGCTGTGTGGCAAAATTTTTACAAGTTCTGAGCCAATTGTGGAAAACATAATTTCTCAAGGTTTATTGCTATACCTTTTAATGACCCAAACCAGTATTGTTCAAAAGAAATGTAATATAGGCCATAAATGCAAACCTATGTATAATTTGAAGTTTTCCCTTAGTCCACATTCCATATGATAAAATAGAGAAAAAGAAATAATATAAAATTCTTTTTAGTGACTCAGTGTACCCCAGATATTACCATTTTAATATAATATTTTGCATGTTTTATTAAGGCTTTGAAAACAAAAAGTGTTCCAGTAGTATAGTGCATAATGAGTTGAATTGCTTATCAGAAGGGTTGACAGTTTGAATCCATCAGCTGCTTTGAGGGAGAAAGATCAGCAAACCGCTCTCATAAAGATTAAGGTCCTCAGAAACCCATTAGTGGGTTACCATGTGTCAGAATGGACTCAAGGGCAGTGGATTTGTTTTTATTGGCGAGCAGTTGAAATATGTATTTTATCCTTAGAACACATCTTAATTTGTACTGGCATTTCAAGTGCTCAAGAGGTACTGAGTGACTATTATAATGGACAGTGTAACTCTAAACTATTTTTATGAGCCAAACTCGAACTCATTCCAGTCCAGTTGATGCTGAGTCATTGCTGCCCTTCCACTGAGTTTCTGAGGCTATGAATTGCAGAGGAAGAAGTTGCCCATCTTTCTGCTTCAGAACTGCTGGTGGATTCAGACTTGGCAGAGTCCTTTCCTGTCTGTCCATTTGGGTCACTCCAGAATGTCAGGGTTTCTTAATTTCTTAAAAAAGTGATTTTATTGAAAATTAACAGAATGATTGGATTTTTTCATTCATTCATTCATTCATTGATACACATTTTTCTCCTTTTTCCTCTCCTTCTCCCAACTCACTTTGTAATGCACGTCTTGTTCTACTTTGTTAACAGTCAAACATATAAAGACTAATTATCCATTCCTTTCATATAGTCCTTTGCTTCACCTAGTCCAGTGCTGTATTTAATATCAACTCTTTTTCTGTTCTTGCTGCCTCCGTGTGTCAATCCTGTCTTTATAGCAGTAGTCTTATGAAATATCTGTTCTTCTGTGTCTAAGATACTTCACCAGCATGATGTCTTCCATATTCTTCCATGCTGTGTAGTGTTTTACAAGTTCACTGCTTTTCAATGCTGCATAATATCCCATTATATGAACATACCACAGGTATTTTTTTTGTTTTGTATTGTTTTTATCCTTTTTTTATGAGCAAGTAGACTATTTCCATCTCTTTACTCCTGTGAAAAATGCACATGAGAGTATATATCGGTTCTGTCAGACCTCTGATTTCTTTATAGGATAACTGTGTCACAGAATATATCTATTTTTACCCTTTTGTGGAAGTGCCAGACTGCCTTCCCTCATGGTTGTACCATTTTACTTCTCTACCAGCAGTGTATGAATTCACATCATCACCGGAATTTGTTGTTTGCTGTCCTGTTGAACTTTGCTATTGTTGCTGGGATGAGATGATATCTCATTGTTGTTTTGATTGGCATCTCTAATAACTAGAGATAAAATGGGAGAGGGGTTTTTTGACACTCAAGAAATTGAGTATTCCTCATAAGACAAATTTATAATAAGACAAATTTTGTTTTACTTTCATTTTTTATGATTAGAAATGGCTAGCACATGCTTATATTATCATCTTTCAAATATAAGCATTTAACTTGATTTGGATCTTCCCTGATAATTAATGGTAGGATCAATTTGACATGTGTTTGTGCATCTCTTTTTCCATATAGATGATGCTATTCTTTATTGCTTCAGTTAGTGAAGTTTGTGGAGAATATAAAGAATTGAGAAATTAGTGGATTTTTTTCCTCTTGCTGTGTTAATAATTTTGCTTTCCTAGCTCTGTGTAGGTGAGCTGTAAGCCTAACACAATTTATTATAAAGTGCCTAAGAAAGAACATATGTAAAACACTGGGTATTTCTTCTTGCTGACCCTCAGCATATCAAGCTTTTGAGGTTCAAGGGAATTGTTACTGTGACCAATGTAGTGAAGTAAATTAAATTTCTTTTCCTTTATTTTATATTTGATATAGTGTTATACTTGGGAGTGCTTTATTGATAACGAAATGAGAGAAAATTATGTAATGTGAAACTTATATAAACTTAAGATGATTACTTCAGAAAGGACTGTTGTTGTTGCTGTGTACCATCGAGTTGGAGCCAACCCATAGCTGACCCTCCAATGGGTTTTCAGAGGCAGTTGATCACGTGGGAGGAGATTGCCCATACTTCTCCCACAAAGCAGCTGGTGGCCTCGAACCACGTGTCTTTGTGATTGCAGCACCGCTTCACAGCCACCAGAGCTGTCATCACTGGGAAAATATTTTATTTTAGATTTAACTAAAAGGTAGATTGTTGGTGCCCCCCAGTAACTCCACAGGAAAAAGACATGACTTCACCCTTCAATAAAGATGTACAGCTTTGCTAGTCTTATGAGACAGTTCTACTCTGTCCTGCTGGGTCACTGACTTGATGACAATGAACTTAGTTTGATTTGTTTTGGCTTATGGTCTGGATCCCTTTGTTGCTGTTGACATTTTGTAATTGATAAGTTTTGGAGAATTTTTGATTTATACTTTAGTATCTCCTACTTTATATATATATTTTTGAGAAAGGATCTTGATGAACAAGTTGTTAGCGGCTGTCTTTGGGAGTTGTTATTGATAGTTTTTGTAAGAACTGATATTCGTTTCTGTTGTCCAGAGTATTCTAAAGTGTCATACAGGAATTACTTGTCTCACTAGTATCTCACTATTGCATTTTCTCTGCTTCCTTTGAGTTTAAATAGAAGCAAGGTGAAATAATCCATTGTTTAAGATATGAAGTGTTCTAATT